AAAAAAATTTTGACTTTTTATTTTTAAAAAAATATATTCAAAAATATAGAAAAGTGATTTGATTAAAAAAAATTAAAACATTGACATTTAACCGTGTTGGTATCTCTTAACATTTCTCATGTTGTTTTAAAGCTTAGTTGGATGTTTAAGGGTTTCTTTTTGCGTGTGTGACCTTTTTATTATTATTTTTTTATTATTTTTTATTTTTTTCGGAATGAGTGGGTGATATTTTTGTTAGTCTATTTTCACCTTTAATAAAAAAAATTAAAACAAAATTCAAAAAGTTTAGACTTCTAAATTTTACTCAATAAGATGAACCAAAATTAAAAAAAAAAATCTAAAAAAAATCAAAAAAGACAAAAATAGTACAGTATTTTGGATTTTCATTTTTGTTTGGATCTTTTAAAAAAAATTACATTTAGATTTTTCTACACAAGATGGACTGAAAAAATAAAAAATTAACATAATTTTGAAAAAATGTCACTAAAAACAAAAAAAACTTCAAAAAAGAAAAAAATACAACTTTAAGAAGTTCCCAAACAACCTCCTATTGTAGTTTGAAAGCAATAATCTATACGAAAAATCCAACCGTCCACCTCTAGATAATGGCCTTTTTAAAACTTATTTTTACTTGGTTTGGGATGTCGGTTGACTTTGATTATTTTAATTTGAAATTAAAAAATTTCGTTTGGCATGAATTTTTTTGACTTTTGTAAAAGAAAAATTAAAATAATTATAATTTAAATTTGACATTTTATTTTATTAATTATATTAACATATGCTATCTTTATTAACCATTTTAGTTAAAACCCAACTTCCCAAACAGAGCCCTTACCTTTGTTTACTCTTTTACCCTTCCCTTCCCATCCAAATTTTTATTTTTATTTTTTAATTTTTTTCCACATAAATATCTTCCTACTACCGGTTTTGGAGTTGAATTTTAAAGTTTTTTTTTAATTTTTTTTTATCATCTTTAATTAAATTATATATAAACATTTCAAAAAAATTACTATATATTTCCGTTTGGGAAGAAAAAAGCCAGGCTTTTTTGGCTAAAATAGCCACAAAAAACAAAATAGGCTATTTTGGCCACAAAAAACAAAACATCAAATCTAACCCATAATCATTACAATCTTCTCTCACAAAAAAGTCAAAAAGCCCTTCCCAAACCAAGCTAAAATAGCTCAAGCTAAAATAGCCAAAAAGTCAAAAGGCCAACCCACTTCCCAAACGGAGGCTTTATTTGACTAGATAAACTGAAAAAATAAAATAAAATTTAAAAATTTTGAAAAAAATATAGAAAGAATAAAAAATTCCAAAACAGTTAACTTTTCATCTTTGTTTTGATTTTTTTAGTTATTTTTTTACTTCTTAGATTTGTCTATAAATTAAAAAGTAAAAAAATTGATATAACTTAAAAAAAAATCATTAAAGACAAAAAATAATAAAGGAGACTTTTTAGTTGTAGACAAAAAATAAATTGTTTTATATATGTATTCAATTTTTTGGGTCATTATATGAAAAAAGTTGTATTTTTTTTTAGAAAAATACTGACTGATTTTCTTATATTTTTTGTAGCCCAACTAATGAAAACAATAAATATTGGTTTTTTTCACTTATTTTTATGTTTTTTTTTTCTCTTTCTCTTAAAAAATTCAAGATCCAAACAAATTAATGAAATTTATTTATAGTTTTTTTTTTATTTTTTTTTATATACAAACAGATTTTTTATTTGATTTGAGGTCTTACGTGTATTTATTAATGTAAGCTTTTTTTTTGTTTGTGTTTACTTATAAAAAGAGAAATGCTAGGTGTCATGAAGAATTTTCATGAAGAATTTTCATGAAAACTGTCATGAAAACCATCTGCACCGTTAGATCAGGTATGTGTCTCATGATCCAACGGTACAGATGGTTTTCATGACAGTTTTCATGAAACGTAGCAGGACCCCTTATAAAAATAATCCAGTAAAAAATCTATTCATGTATAATAATATTATTATTTATATTATTTTTTCTTATACTTTAAAAAAAATAAAATCATTGACTTATAATTCAAACGATGACATAAATGGAATATGACATTTAGCTAATATTCGATGGAAGGTGATTAAGATAATGAAATCTACTTTACTAATGGCTTTTAGTAATTCGGTAGGAGGGATATGTGGATAATTTACTTTTATTTATAGGTTGATGTTGAGGTTTATTGTCATTTATTATTTGGTTAATGGTCAACAAATGCATGAGAAAAGTAAAATTAATATTAATTTAATAATCTTGAAATATTATAGGGAGATGCACTAATAAATCCCAAATTAATAACTTATGCACTGTTTAGTCCTAAAAGTTTTCTTATAGACTGAAAGGTCCCATTACAATGGTAATAACATCAGATACAATGTTAATAACATCAGAGTCATATTACAAACATTGGATTTCAAACATCTAATGTTCATCAAATTTCAATAATGTTTGAAAATATAGGATGAAAAACATCTAATGTTCATCAGATTTCAATAAATTTTGAAATTATAGAATGAAACATCAGATCATTTACATCATTCACATCATGTTGATGTAAAAATGGGACTAAATGGAGCATAAGAAAACTTTTAGGACTAAATGGTTCAACGTTTCAAAAATTAAGACTTATGGGTAAATTTTTCAATATTATATGACATTATTTATGTGATGTTTTTAATAAATGATGTGATAAATTTTTAGTATTAAAATATTATATGACATTATTTATCTGTTTTACAATTTTCTCATCTATTGGAGTACTTGTAGGTAAGTAGAATTACCTAATATTTTTATTTTGAAAGATCAAAGTCAATTTTTTTATTTTATTTTATATTTTTTTTTATGAATGTTTAAAGAAAAAAAAGATAAAATAAACTCGTAAAAACCATCAATGCAAAAACAAAGGAACTTAGGCTTCTTAGGTATTATAACTAGTATTATCCTTACTTCAACGAATTAGCTATTGCAATAATTATTTTAACAAAAAATTTCAAGACTAGCTACATTTAAAAAGCCATAGAGCATTTTCATCAAACTAATTATTTTTATTTTCCAGTTAAAATAGTGTGAAAATCATTAAATTTCAATTTCATCAAACTAGTTATAGTGGATTTGGCTCAACAAATGTGCTAGTGGTTTGGGCTAGTCAAACATTCACAAATTTTACTTTTGATTTTTTGGAATTAGTTGCGTAGAGTTTATAAAAATAATTATAATTAAAATTAATAAAAATAATGTTTAAATAGCATGACAAAATAATAGAGAGTTTGTTGGATAGTTATTTAAAATATGAATAGCCAAAATAGAAAAAAGAAACTTTTAAACTAAAATATAACAAAAAATTAATTAGCCTCCGTTTGGGAAGTGGGTTGGCTTTTTGGTTTTTTGGCTTTTTTGGCTATTTTAGCCTGGGCTTAAAAGCTTGGTTTGGGAAGGGCTTTTTGGATTTTTGGTTTTTTTGAATTTTTTTGTGAGAGAAGAATGTAATGATTATAGGTTTGATGTGATGTTTTGTTTGTTGTGGCTAAAATAGCCTATTTTGTCTTTTGTGGCTATTTTAGCCCAACCCAACTTGCCAAACACCACCTAAGTATGATGAGCATGCTCTTAAGAGATTTTTTTAAACAATTTATATGGATAGATAAGTAAAATAAAGACGGGTAAATAACTGTACAGTGTTAGTGATATAGTAAATTTTTTTTTTTTTATAAAATTACGAAAAAGTATAACATTTTAATTATTAAACTGTATAAACTTTACTATTGATTTATAATTTTTTTTTTTTGCCACCACTCTGCTATTATTTCTCCAATAAAAAGTAACGATGGAGTCTACAAATAAAAAAAATTAGGTAAAATAAAAAATTTACCATTTTTATGTTTTGACTAGTGAAAAATAGAAAGTATAATTGAAGTTGCTCTAACAAAATGTCTCCCATCCTCTCTTTTTACAATTCGTAACTTTCTACTATAGTAATTAGCCCCTCCTATTTCTCTTTTCTCAAAAATAGTTCTTGGCAAGAGAGAAATGAAAAGAAGAAGAAAAAAAGAAAAAAAAGAAGAAGATGAATTTCTCTTTTAGTGAAGAAAAAAAAAAAAAAAAAATTGAATGAAGTTATCTAACCACTTGTATCGTAAGGTATGTCAAAAAGATGGGGAAAATCAATTAAAATATTTAAAACCATTTTGCACCATTCGAGTCAACATAATACATCAAATCTTCTCTCTTAAACGTATAATCCATTACTCCAGGGATTAGAGCATCATCTCTAATGTTTATTCTTTATATATATATATATATATATATTAAATTTGAATAAGTTTAAGTAAAAATTTCATCTGATATTGAGTATTTCAACAGATAATTTATATTTTTCATCAAAACATCAATCAATCAAGAGGATGATCGAGCGAATATCTGACCGGTCGATCGGTTTGTATAAATTGACCAACACTTTATGGGTAATTTTACAAGGAAAAAGTTGTCAGGTCCATCCAATAGTCACTGACAAATTTGATAAAAAAATAAAACTCATTTGATTTGATTTGATAAGAAAAATAACTTTTCATCTATTTGATATTAGTTTATGGAAGAATTAATTCTCGTGTTTTAGACATTTTTTTTTTATCAAATTTAAATTTAATAAAGTGTTGGAAATGGTCTTAATTGTCTATTAAAAAAAACGGCGCTGCTTGAGGGGCCGAATTTCGGGGCTCGAATGCCCCCACCCCCTTTGACCCCCTCTCTCTCTCATTGGTTACCTTTTCTTTTTCTTTTTCTTTTTTTTCCTGCTCCACCAATCACTCCCTGCCACGTGGCAAAGGGGGTGAGGGGGTGACCCCCAAAAGGGGGTCCCAAGCATTATTCTAAAAAAAAATAATGGATTCATTGTCAAATTGAAAACCAAACGTTGGAGATAAATAAAATATAAAACAGAATAGTTCCTACTTTACACATATAAAACAGTTCTCACAGACAATTTTAGACCCAAAAACAACGTCTGATTCACTCACATACCTCTCTTTGCTGACTACCCTTTTCAATCCGACGCGGATTGTTGTATCGAGAACTTGGCCTTCCCGCCGCCCGCACCTTCCTTCCTTTCTCTCTCCTCTTTTCTCTCTCTAAAAACTTTCCAAGAAAGCCAAAGAAAATCTCACCAATAAACAGAGAGAGAAGACAAAGGCCCTCAAGGGTCTCTGTTTTGTGTTCTGTAATGGCGAAATCGAAGAAACAAGCTTACATATCAGTCCCATCTCAGATAATCAGCACTCTCTCATCTTCTTCTCTACAATCTCTTCTTCTTTCTCCAAAGAAATCATCAAAGAACAAGACCATGTCATGGAAGAACCCAAGGTTCTGGTTTCTTTCTCTCTTTCTCTGCGCTTTTCTTGGAATGTTGAAGATGTGGTTCAATCTCGACCCATTAGTCCCATTCTCTCCCAACCCATGTTGGATTCTTCATCAAGAACCATCATTTAGAGATGGGTTTTCGATTTCACAGCTTCATAACAATGTTGGAGATGTGGAGAAAAGAGATGAAGAACAAGAACAAGGACAAGAACAAGAACAAGAACAAGAACAGAGTGAGTTTTGGAAACAACCTGATGGGTTGGGATATAAGCCTTGTTTGGATTTCACTAGAGAGTACAAGAAATGGAGTGGAGAGATTGTGAAGGACAGGAAAAATTATCTGATGGTGGTGGTCTCAGGTGGGATGAATCAGCAAAGAAATCAGATTGTTGATGCTGTGGTGATTGCAAGAATTCTTGGGGCAGCTCTGGTTGTTCCCGTCTTGCAAGTCAACGTTATTTGGGGCGATGAAAGGTTTGTTCAATCTCTTCATTTTCCTTTTTCTAGCCCAAATCCATTGTTTTATTCCATTTTTTAGTTAATTCAACAAAAAAACCCATTTGTTTTCATTTGGTAACTTTGTTTTTTGAGGCCTAAATCAGTAAATGTATCTGATTTTGGTTCATCCTAGGAAAGGAAACAACCATTTGGTATAATTGTTATTACCTTTATTTTTTATTTATTTATTTTGTTTGGGTCAAATTATCAATTTTTGTCATTTTGATTCAACATACCAAATACCCATTTGGGTTATAGTTGACACCATTTGATTTCATTTGGAGATTATCAAAATCTGTTTGTTGTAGTCAAGTTCAATTGCATTTATTCCTCTTCTTGGATCATACATTTTGGAGGAACCTTACAATTTGTTTTTGTTTGTTTTCTCTGTTATGTGCAGTGAATTTTCTGATATTTTTGATTTGGAACACTTTAAAAAGGTTCTAGCCAATGACGTGAGAATAGTTTCATCGCTGCCATCGACACATTTGATGTCGAGGCCGGTGGAGGATAGACAGATGCCGGTTAATGTCAACCCTCAATGGATCCGTGCGCATTACCACAGACGAGTATGAAACACGAACACTGCCTTGTCTGACTTTGAAGTTACTTATTTAGCTCATGCTTGACAGTTCATTGCGTAAACAGATTGTTTTGCAAAAACAAATATGCCAGCATAAACAAAAACAAAAAATCAATGGCCCACAATTCATCATTAAAGTTATGAACTTGGCAGATCTTAGTAGTTCCTATGATTGTAGTTTGGCAAAACATTAGTTTGGTTTGTTATTCTGATCCTTGTTTTCTAGTAACAATAACAAATGCTATAGAGATAACTTAGAAGTTTGAATTGTTAAAACTGCGTTATCTTTTACTACTCGTCGTAGTATTTGGCTGATTATTTTTCTTAAAATAATATTAATTTTTGGATGGATGGGCCTTTTTTGGTCATCGCGTAACTTTATTTGCGGTCTTAAAGGTTATGACTAATTCAACTAATGGATGTTCGAAGTGACTCCCAGTTTTGTTTTATCCAGTGGTTTTCACTATTTTGCTTTATTAGTTTGAAAGTTTCCGCGTGTTTGAGAAACAAGTGCTCAATTGGTTGTGAAGTGGCATGAATGATCGTACTGATGCTATTTTTGTTGGTTATGCAGCTTAGGAGGGATGGTGTTCTGCTCATTCGTGGTTTCGATTCAAAGCTTTCTAAAGATCTCCCTTCCGATCTTCAGAAGCTCCGTTGCAAGGTACCTCTTTGGATTTTAAGATTCCTTTAATGAATAAGTATGCAATTTGAAAACTTCTAATGGTTGCTTGACTGAGTTTGGCAATTGCTCTTTTAAATCTAAAACAAGTGATGTGTTTGGTAATCGCTAAAAAAAGTAGTTTTTTTGTTAGTAGAAAAGTTGGCTTATTTTTAGCTTTTTTAGCTCAAGACAAACATGCTTTTACTTTTTTTAGCTAATGCGAAATGGGGGTTTTATGTCACTTCTTTGAACTGTGCTTATTTTGCTATTTGTCCAAACGTGGCAGCAATTGATCTAAGTTTTGTGTGGCTGTAGGTGGCATTTCAAGCACTGAAGTTCGCTCCACCGATCCTAGAACTTGGTAATATGCTCACAGAGAGGATGAGGAGTAAGGGACCTTATCTTGCTCTTCATCTCCGATTAGAGAAGGATGTATGGGTGAGGACAGGTTGTCTTCCTGGTTTGAGTCACGAGTATGACGAAATGATAAGCAATGAGAGAAAACTACGGCCAGAGCTCTTAACTTCAAAATCAAAGATGACTTATCATGAAAGAAAGCTTGCAGGCCTCTGTCCCCTAAATGCATTAGATGTTACACGGTAAGTTTTAATTGTATTTGCTTGATTATTTGTGGTTATAATCATTGTACTTTCTTGTCTAATTTTCAAAACATGTAATAACTGAGATGGACTATTTGGTTTGTGTTTTAGGCTCCTTAAAGCTTTAGGAGCTCCAAAGAATGCAAGAATATATTGGGCTGGTGGGAATCCATTGGGAGGGAAAGAAGCATTGCTACCGCTAATTAGAGAATTTCCTAATTTGTACAACAAGGAAGACATTGTCTTGCCTGGGGAGCTTGAGCCATTCGCAAGCAAGGCTTCTGTTTTGGCCGCTATTGATTATATAGTAGCTGATAATAGTGATGTGTTCATGCCATCACACGGTGGAAATATGGGTCATGCAATTCAGGTATTGTCACCAACCACCTTAATCACTTGCGAAACTAATCTGATTGGATCAATACATTTATGAATTAAGGTGGTCCAACAATGGTTTGCTTTAGATTTCGAGCAATGCAATCTAAAATTATGTAGAAATATTGTACTAAATTCTGTGTGTTTCTGGCAATACAGGGACATAGGGCATTTGCGGGGCACAAGAAGTATATTACGCCAAACAAACGACAGATGCTTCCCTACTTCCTAAATGCTTCTCTCCCTGAAGCAGAGTTCAATAGGATTATAATGGATTTGCACCAAGATTCCTTAGGGCAGCCAGATCTCAGGACTAGCAAAGCCGGAAGGGATGTTACCAAGTTTCCTGCTCCTGGATGTATGTGCAATGATTCAAATTCACATTCCTCATGATTCGACAACTCCAATATTCCCATGTATTGAGGTCTTCATCAGAATGAATGCTCCAAGACGCGGAGCGTGATGAAAACTAGAAGTGTCTATAGGTCAGAACATGGTCTTGAAGTGCAACCATTGCAGGAGGCGGCAAAGAAGTCAGCTTTGGAGATGAGCAATCACTACAATTCACTTATGTTGCCACGGTCCAATATACTTTTCCACTTGCTTATGTACAAATACACGGTGAATAATTTTTTTTAGGGTTATAATACCACAATTGATGGCATAGCTTCATTTTTTGATTCCTGAAAGAGTAAAAGGGAGGGTTGCCTGGGGAGGGGGGATGGGGATTTTTCAGATTTGAAAGAAAAACAAAAATTTTTTTTGTTCATTCTTTGTAATGTATCAATGTATGACTTGATCAATAAATGTACATATATAGAGGTGTATTTCCACTGAGATTGTATTATATTAGGCTCTTCTTTTTTGACATTTTTCTTTGCATAATTCAGTTCTATGTCTACAGCTTTTTTCTTTTCTTTTCTTCTGTTTTTTTTTTTTTTTTTTTTTTTTTTTTTTTTTTTTTTTTTTTTTAAATGGTTTCTGGTGGGGCATGAATTATTTGTTATGTTCTGTGATCTATTTTAAGCAGTGGGTGTTGGGAGTTTACAATGAGGCATGAATTGTTTGTCCTGTGATCTATTTTAAGGAGTGGGAGTTGGGAGTTTGTAGTTGTGGTTTGGTTAGTAGTTTTTAGTTCGTTTTTTTCAGTTGTTATTTTTTTAGTTTGGGATTATAAAGTTTATTTGGGTTGATTTTTTTGAATTTTTATTTTTATTTTTATAAGAGAAAAAGTAAAATGATTATCGTTTGGATGTGACATTTTGTCTTATTAATTTATATAACTTATTTTGTCTTTTGTATTTTGTTTAAGGCAATGGCCTCGTGGCGATCTACCATGCGTCTCGTTTTGATAATCTGAATTGTTGGCCCTGTGTGAGTCTATCATGAGTCCCGTTTTGATAATCCAAACTGTTGAATTTATAATACTCGTTAAATACTATATATTTGTAAAACATTATATTGATCGGATATCGATAACAATGTGATTAAATCAAATTTTTGTAAGTTGTTTATTTGTCGCCATCCATTTTTTTCCATACAAAACTAATTTGATCATATAGTTACTGATATCCGATCAACGTGATTTTTTGTAGACATAGTACTTGATGAGTTCTACACATTGAATGATTCGAATTATCAAAATGAGACTCATAGTAGACTTTCATAGGCTCAACAGTACTCTCCAGTCCGTGATTGGATTGGAGGGAAGCCATTCCCTTGTTTTTAATCCCAACTTTTTTGGCCAAACTTGTTAAGCAATGGTTGGAATATTATTTCAAGGTTGTAATGCCAAAGCTTGGAATTTAAATCTTGAACATTGAGTTGCTGGCAACAATTTTTTGCCTAAATAAGTACAAAAAAAAGAAAAATAAAAAATTAATAAAATAAAATATTATATTTAAACCATAATTATTTTATTTTTTTTTCTCCCATAACTATTACATTCAAATCAAAAAAGGTAAAAAATTCTTTTCAAATAAAATTGATTTAATCAGACTAAATTAATCAAAAAAATCAAATTAAATTAACTTTTTCCAAACGAAGCCTGAATGCGCTGCTGGAAAAGGAGCACAGCTTTGAAACGATTTGTCATGAGAAACAACAACAATATGCTTTCATTAAACAAAATGTTTTTGTGTTTGTGTTGTGAAATAACTATGTTGGAGGTAAAAAAGGACCCTCCTCAAGGAGAGGATCCGGACTCCTGGAATGGTCCCTGAAAACCAAATTTTAAAAAGCAAGCTTTATTACTCATGGCTGTCATTGATAACATGACAGCTGAGAACCATAGCTGTATGTGAATTGGTGATGTCATGAACACGGCCTGTGTCACCATCTCCAGTACCCTAGAATTAGGTTACTCAGGTCCAGAAGTGATAATTCAGAGTGTTCTTTCTTGTTTTTTTTTTTTTAAAAAAACTTTTTTTTTTTTTTTTTTTTTATTTTTACGGGAGAGGGATGTACAAATGATCCGTGGGTTGCGGAAACCCGTCGCGGTGCCATTTGACGGCTCATGAATTATTTTTATACCCCTAACTTTTCTGTTAAAAAAAATAAAAAACAAAAAACAAAAAAAAGGCCCAAGTGGGGCTGGCCAGGAAGCCCAACTAAGCTTGGGCCCGATCCTAATCCAGGACTCTGGACTTCGGCTTGGGACTAGGCCGTGTGTTTTGGAACCCCATCCAACCCGTGAGCCCGGCCCACTCAAGACCCACTCAAAGCTTGTCTTGAAACACGCTTCGCTCAACATTTGGTGTAATTTTTAGTAGAAAAAAATAGAAAAAAAAAAAGGTGCAAGTCAAGCACAAGCCTGAATACTCCTAAGCCTAGACTTGGGCTTGAACCTAATTTTTTGACTTGTGGTTTGACCTAATCTAAATTTTAACGAGAGCCAGTGTGAAGCGAATCAAATTTACACCCCTTGCAATATGCTCAAATAGTGAATACTCACCCCTCGCAAATGTATGTTCTATGGTTACCATCCCCAACTATATATTCCATGGTTACAATTTTACCATCCCCAAATCATACTAAAACTTCATTTGAGAACCTTCCATTTTAGTTAAAAAGTCAAAAAGTTACTAAGACCTCGTTTGGAAACAGGCTAATTTAGTAATTTTTTGACTATTTGGCTAAAATATGAGCTAAAAAAAACTAGTATGTTTGGAATAACTTTTTGGCTTTTTACGAAAAGATGTGCAAAAAGTAGAGAGAAAAGAGAATCTTTAACTTTTTGGTATAGGTTGTTGACTTTTTGACTAATTTAGTAACTTTTTGACTTTTTGGCTAAAAGGGAGAGTTCCCAAACGAGACCTAAATTAACCAAAAAGCCAACAACCTATACCAAAAAAATCAAAAATTCTCTTTTCTCTCTACTTTTGCACATCTTTTCGTAAAAAGCCAAAAAATCATCCTAAATATACTAATTTTTTTTAGCTCATATTTTAGCCAAATAGCCAAAAAATTACTAAATTAGCCTGTTCCAAAACGGCCTAAACATACATTTGGGGATGGTAAGCAAAATTGTTTCCTGTGCCAACCTCTTTCATGGCAAATTGTTGGAAGTTCCATGGTTTTTCATGTCGAATTGTTGGAAGTTCAATGGTTTTGGAGACTGGAAGCTCCGCAACAGAAGGGGCGACCTGTGGCAAACTACCTCTCTCTAGATGGTTCAAACGTTGATGCATACGAAGTATTAGATGCAATGCATTTCCAAACTGTATTAGATACAATGCATTTTAAGTTAAAAAACTTCACTGAATTCATGTTCGCTCGGCTGGGCGTAATTCTTTAGTAGTGCATAAACATCCCATCTGAGAAGCTTAAAAATAACAAAAAAATTACTGGAAGAAATTGGCAAAATTCGAATGCTATCCACATTACAAAGTGAGGCTCAATCTAATGACTTATCAGAAAAAGTTTATCCTACCCATTTGGATAGTACAAATCTAAAAAGGAAATAAAAACAGAAGCTTGCAATCTGCCATGAGACTAAGCGAAGCATCAAAAATTTCAATTCTCTTTGTAGATTAATTCTTCACATTCTCAATCTAAAACATTGAGAGATATGATATCTGACCCAGATGCACACCAATCCACGAGCACTCAGATTCAAATACCAGAAGGAAGCTTGAAGGCAGCAATAACGGAAAGAAAAAAAAACAAAAACAAAAAAGTTATCATTCCCATGCCTCAAATATGTTATCTAGCCTCTACCAAGAAGGAAGCCTCTTTAGAAGAATAGGGCCAGAATGGTGAAAGTTCAACAACTTTCCCAACAATGATGAGTGTAGGCGATATTAATTGGGCTGATGTAATTTCGTCAGCAAGATCCTTTAGTTCAGCAAAAACCTGCGGAATTGGGAAAGTAATTGCAATCAGTCATTCACTATAAGCTAGAAGCACAGTCATGTGACACGATACGGACATGTTGACATGGCGATTAAAAAAAATGCAGGGACACCATGCTTGGAACATGTTAAAAATTTAAATTTTTATAAATTTATTATATGTCAATACATGAATAGTATACTAAAATGTAATTTAAAAAAAGAAAGAAAAGAAAGAGTAAACATTTAAAACTAAAAAGTTAACCATCAGAAGTAGCTAATTTCATGCATATTGTATGTACATTTGGTTGCACAAATTGCATAGTATCATAAATATTATCAAGATATCATTCATGTAACAATTACATTTTAAATAATACAAAACAATTGTAAGATATTGAAATACATGTTATATATTTAATCTATAAATGCTTCAACATGTATTTAGAGTGCACAAAAAGTCAGTGGGTTCTTCCTCAACTTATATTCTATTGATGCCACTACTACCATTTCACAAATATATTCATTTCCAATTCTTTCCTAATTTTATCACATCCATTTAAGTATTTTCATCTTAGTTACACTCATTTTATGAACATGTTGTTTCCTAGTAGTGCAATTTTGTACCACAAATCATCACTAACATTATAGTTGTTCAATGACAATTTTCTTTTAATTTTGTTCTTATTCGTCGATCACAATTTGCTAAACGCATTCCTTCATTTGAGTTAACCAATTTTGGTTCTATAAATCACAACATCTCCAAGCCTAACCACCCTTATTAAACCTAGGTAACGAATTCACTATTTGTTATCTCTTGATTTTCAATATTCACTTATCCATTATTTTTGCTTCTAATGTCACTAAAATTGTAGTTTCATCCACTAGAACAATATTATCAGTGAATAACATACTCCATGGAACATCAGGGATGTGCTTAGTTGATTCATACATGACTAAGGCAAAGGCAAATAGGTAAGGATTCAAATTTGACCCTTGACACAACCTTAAAGTGATTGAAAATTCACTAGTTTCTGAAGCAGGTGATCCAATCATAATCACAAGTGCATAATACATGTCTTTTATCGCATCATTGTACCTTTGGTCACATTTTTTCTTCAACACCCACCATATTATATCTTTAGGCACTTTATCATAAGCTTTTTCTACATCTATAAAAACCATATGTAAATCCCTCATTTTGTTTTCTTATACTTCTCTATTAATCTTAATAAATTTATTACTTTCATTCCCTCATTAGGCAACTCAACATTCCAAATCTTTTCAGCAACTTTTTCCAACAATAACAATTCCCTCGTAAACTCTAACCTCCAAATAATTCAAGAACTTGGGGTGACCATTGGGGGATAACCCTAGGGCTGAGTGTTTAGGGGCTCCACCATTAGAAAAGATTGGTACGAGGTTGGATAGGTGGAACAGAGCTATGTTTTCTAAAGTAGGTATATACTTTAATGTAGTATTTCAATTTATTATTTGCCTTGAGATTCCGGTTAGGGTAGAAACTAAGATTGAGAAAAAGATGAGGAATTTCTTGTGGAAACGCATAGATGAAGGGAAAAAGAATCATTTGGTAAAACGAGAGGTTATGTATACCTAAAGATAAAGGGTATCCTGCTATAGGAAACATTGTGGTAAGAAATATCGCTTTTCTTAGAAAGTAGTTATGGAGATCTTGCATCAAGTGTATTTTTTATGACATTCTATTATTAAGAGTAAATACGGGGTTCAAGATAATGGTATGGTATGGATTGTCTTATAATTAAAAAGGAATTGTCGATTTCCATGAAAATCTATCTTGTTCGTCTTTTTTCCCATTTGTCGTCTTTGAAAGTGACACTTCTTTTGATGTTTTGTTTCCATATATGTATAGTCTGTTTTGTTCTCATAATGTTTCCATTACTTCTATGGTTTTATCTCATTAAAAAGGAGACCTAATCACAATCTTCGTCCTCAATGATACACTATATGTAAGAAGAAAAAGAAAAATCTTTGAATCATTTACTTTTGTATTGCCTATTGGCTTTGTCTACATAGGGCTTTTCCAATTGGTGGATGTTTGTTGGGTGGCTGTACCCTGTTGTTCCTAAATGCTTTTTTGAATTTTGGCGTTTCAGGTGCAACAAGAAAGCAATATTTTTTGTGGGATTGCATCTTTTCTACACCTTCAAGTTATTTGGTTGAAGTATAATGCTAGGATTTTTGACGATAAGATAGAGGATGTTGATTCTTTATGGGATAAGGTGTGTTACCTGTCACCATCTTTTTAGAGGAATTCCACTATTTTTGATATCCAGAGACATGAGGAAGGTGTTATACCTGTCACACTTTCTTTGTTTTTGAATTTCTTTCTTTGGACTACTCATTGTTCTCTTTTGTATTCTTTTTAAATAATATTTCTTTTGTTGCTAATGAAAAAATAATAATAAATACTGTAAGATTTGGGGCCACTGTTATGCATGTTTTCTGGGAGATTTTATTTCAAGTGTTGAAATAAATAACTCACATTATGAATTTTACTTTCAAGGGGACAAATTTGAGCCTTTAAAAGCTAAGAGTGCACAAATGAAATAATGCCATTTCCATGGGATGTTCTGAACATTTTCCTTTTTGATACACAGCTAGTAAAATACATTTTTCCACAAGTAGTGCATGGATTCAAGACTTGCCATATGAAAATGAAAACAATAGACAAAAATCCCCCCCCCCCCCCCCCCCCCCCCCCCCGGTCATCAAATTTGAGAGCCATTCCAAAGCATTATGTATACTGATGATAATAACGTTAACATTTGCCAATATAAAAAAAGAAGAAGAAGAAAGATAATAACGTTCATGTTAATAAGATGTCTTCCACCATTTTCATGTCTGAAAGCAGCAGGATCATAACTTGGTGTATGATGATGGGTCTAAATAGATATTTGGGTAAATTACAATTTGCACGTTTGCATTTTATATCAAATTTCACTTTTGTTCCCTCATTTTTCAATTGTAATAGTCAACCTCATACGCTTTCAGTCAAATTGAAATGTGCCCCTTTCGTTAGTTTGGTGTTAAATAAGGGTGAAGGAATCTGTCATCTAAGCAATACGTAACATTTTTCTCGTCTCATTAGCATAAAATTTCACTTTAGTCCTTGCACTTTTACCAAATTCTCAGTATGGCACCTCCACCTTTAATTTCTATTAGCCTCATTAACAGTAGATGAATGGAAGGGCAACATTGCTCTTGACTTAAAAGTGTAAGGAGTAGACTCACAATTGAAAATAGAAGGACCAAAGTGAAATTTTGGTGAAATTGTAGGTTTGTTAAGTGTAATTAACCTTAGATATTTTTTAATTTCCCATTGGTAGAGTTCTAAAAATAAAACTATTGAACAAAAAAGTTAACCATTGATATATTGCTAGAGGAATCAAACCTTTAGGCAAGCTACAAGGAAATCATGCATGCTAGTGAAATGTAATCTAATAATTTTTTTTTTTCTTCACATTTTGTCTTTGATATGCTTCACATAGAATGGTCTTTGATTGGTAATTTGTGAACTTGAATGAATAAATTAACAAAAATGAGAAATGGAGCAAATAAGGCGAAAATAAGGTCAAGACCATGATTGCTTACCACACGTTGTTGTGGTGTAGTCCCTCGCTCAACTGCAGCGGCTGGTGTATTGGGTGGCAAACCATGATGCATCAATTTGAAGGCAAGTGAAGGAAGAGTTGACAAACCCATATAAACAACCAAGGTTGAATCAGGGTCAGCTGCATTTTCTGCTACAAACAAGGGGTCTGTTCCTCCTTTCCTAGAGTGGCCAGTAAGAAATCTAACACTATTTGCAACACCCCGGTGAGTTAATGGAATGCCCAGCTCTGCTGCTATTCCTGAGGCAGCAGTAATACCTACAAATCAATGAACATACTAATCATCATCTCTTCATTTGTTGAGAAGAAAAGAACTTTGAGTCAAAGAGACCATGCTAAATTGGTTATAAACAACAATGGGGGTGAAGTATCAGAATAAGAAAACTGCTAGGTTTCCATACACTGAGCCACCTCATGTTGTAACACTAGGTTCTGCAAGGAATCCACCCTGATGTATTCCATATAAATAACCTTTTTATTAGTTTTAGCTTAGTAAAGAAATTGCAATGGAAAGAACCAAGCAGTAGAAACCTGTATACATGGGTATACACAGCAATAGTGAGAAGATGATAATAAACTTTTGAGTAAGTTTTTCTCTCATACTCGCTTCAATTACATCAGGAGATTCCCGCTTGTGAGGAAGCAACAGGTAAGATTTTTCTGTACATGAAAAGGAAGTCCTCAGCAATGTACTGCATATTTTTGCATAGTGAATGTGATTGAAACTCCCCTCACCTGAACTCTATGGGACAGATTATCACATCTATTTGTGCGACTTCCCCATACTAGTTTGCTTTCCATACTCTAAGCCAAACCAAACCAAACCAAGCCTTAAGTCCTATCAAATGGGGTCGGCTACATGAATCCTGCTTTCCATACTCTAATGGGAAAAAAAAAAAAAGTTCTCTATACCCTTAGTTTGCTTGTCCTTAAAGTGTATGATAAATCTTTCTATATTTTCCAGGAAAGGGCAAAGTTCTCCAAATAAAGGAAATGATAAATAAAAGTCTAGAATACCAATAGAAGGAACTCAACATCATTTTGTTAAACAACTCCGGATTCAATTTATTGAAGTAAGTTTCATTATCAAGTTATTAGGGCAAAAGGAAAACATATGAGCCTCATTTCAATGATGAGACTTAGAGCTTTGCAGTCTATGTCATATACCTGGAATGACTTGCACTTGAATCCCTTGTTGCTGCAGAAAATCCATCTCCTCCCCACCCCTTCCAAACACCTAACAAACCGACAAAAATGCCAAAATATTTAGAATACTATATTTATCAGGGGTAAAAAACATAGCATAGCAAGTCCAAGATAATTTCATGGAAGTTGATTACTATAACATTTAAGTGGGCACGCACCAGAGGATCACCTCCTTTAAGTCTTACAACAGTAGCCCCAGCTTCCGCAAAACTCAAAAGCAACTCATGAATCTCCTCCTGCAAATAATCCCCAGAAATAAGTTTGTCATGCAATGACACTCCCTTTGATAGTTAAGAAGATGAAGGGAACAAAAAAGGAAAGAAAATTGTAGAACTGAATTGTTCATAATTTGGGAATGATAAAATATTGAACTCATTTTAGTTGATCATAATCCTTTACTCGACCCTGTGGCCACTACAGAGACTTATTTGTTTCCTTTCTTTTTCCTTAGGTAGCATTTGGTTGGCTGGAAAAGGGTGAATTGAATGGAATGATTATTACTCAGCCTCCCTATGGAATGACAAGTATCCCGTGAATGATAATTTTATTTGTAATGCAATTTCTATCATTTAAACCTTTATGCATTGCTATGCTTTCGACTCAATCTAATAATCTATCTATCGAGCACTAATTTTTAGTAAACCAACATAAGAATAGATATTTTGATGGAACAATCATTTCGTTCCATCTTCACCAAACACCACCTTAGCTTTCTATCGTAGGATTAAGAACTTTGAAGTGGAGATTGCACTTAAGAAGATGAAATCAAATAAGACTTTAGAACCCGATGATATCCCTATTGAAACTTGGAAGTGTTTGGGTAAAAAGAAAATTACTTGGTTGACTAGGTTGTTTAGCAAAATTTTGTTGACTAGGAAACATGCTAGATGAGTGGAGGAAGAGTATTTAAGTATCAATCTATAAGAATAAAGGAGATGTTCAAAATTGCAACAACTATAGAGGAATTAAGCTAATGTGTCATATAATGAAAGTATAAGAGAGGGTGATGGAACGCCAATTGCGAGATATAACAGAGGTGTCAGAGAATCAATTTGAGTTTATGCCTAGCAGGTCAACAATGGAAGCGATCTATCTTTTGAGGAGAGTAATAGAAAGTATAAAGAAAAGAAAAGAAACATTTATATGGTGTTTATCGACCTTGAGAAAGCATATGATAGAGTGTTTCGGGATATAATATGGTGGGTGTTAAAAAAGAAAGGGGTGACAAAATGTTATATAAAAAGTGCAAGTCAAGCACAAGCTTGAATACTCCTGAGCCTAGACTTGGGCCTGAACTTAATTTTTTGGCTTGTGGCCAGACCTAATCTAAATTTTAACGAGAGCTAGTGTGAAGCGGATCAAATTTACACCCCTTGCAATATGCTCAAATACTGAATACTCACCCCTCGCAAATGTATGTTCTATGGTTACCATCCCCAAATATATATTCCATGGTTACAATTTTACCATCCCCAAATCATACTAAACATACATTTGGGGATGGTAAGCAAAATTGTTTCCTGTGCCAACCTCTTTCATGGCAAATTGTTGGAAGTTCCATTTCATGTCGAATTGTTGGAAGTTCAATGGTTTTGGAGACTACAGAAGGGGCGACCTGTTGCAAACTACTTCTCTCTAGATGGTTCAAACGTTGATGCATACGAAGTATTAGATGCAATGCATTTCCAAACTGTATTAGATACAATGCATTTTAAGTTAAAAAACTTCACTGAAATCATGTTCGCTCTGCTGGGCATAAATTCTTTAGTAGTGCATAAACATACCATCCGAGAAGCTTAAAAATAACAAAAAATTTACTGGAAGAAATTGGCAAAATTTGAATGCTATCCACATTACAAAGTGAGGCTCAATCTAATGACTTATCAGAAAAAGTTTATCCTACCCATTTGGATAGTACAAATCTAAAAAGGAAATAAAAACAGAAGCTAGCAATCTGCCATGAGACTAAGCGAAGCATCAAAATTTTCAATTCTCTTTGTACATTAATTCTTCACATTCTCAATCTAAAACATTGAGATATGATATCTGACCCAGATGCACACCAATCCACGAGCAGTCAGATTCAAATACCAGAAGGAAGCTTGAAGGCAGCAATAAAGGAAAGAAAAAAAAACAAAAACAAAAAAAGTTACCTTTCCCATGCCTCAAATATGTTATCTAGCCTCTACCAAAAAGGAAGCCTCTTTAGAAGAATAGGGCCAGAATGGTGAAAGTTCAACAACTTTCCCAACAATGATGAGTGTAGGCGATATTAATTGGGCTGATTTAATTTCGTCAGCAAGATCCTTTAGTTCAGCAAAAACCTGCCGAATTGGGAAAGTAATTGCAATCAGTCATTCACTATAAGCTAGAAGCACACTCATGTGACACGACACGGACATGTTGACATGGCGATTAAAAAAAATGCAGGGACACTATGCTTGGAACATGTTAAAAATTTATTATCAAGATATCATTCATGTAACAATTACATTTTAAATAATACAAAACAATTGTAAGATATTGAAATACCCGTTATATATTTAATCTACAAATGCTTCAACATGTATTTAGAGTGCACACAAAGTGTCAGTGCTTCTTAAAGGGTAAGAAACCGGGAAGTTTTAACACAAGTGCACACATAGGACTGGTTCAGTGTAACTTTTAGTAAGTTGAAGGTTGATAAATCGAAAGCAGAAGCTAAAAGTACCTTTCTCCTTGCTTACCAATAATAAGATTTTTTTAACTTATTTAAACTATTTATGCCTCATAAGTTGTAAGCAGATGTTGCAGCAAAAACTCTGATAAATTTTCCAAAAAAAAAAAAAAAAAGAAAAAAAGAAAAAGAAGCTATAAGTAGCTCCATAAGTTGCACCAAATAGAGCCCTATATACTCCTATGTCTAACTTGATGCCCAAGTACACAACATAAGAAAGGTCAACCTTGAAGATTGTAATTTCCTAAGCATGTTTTGGTGACCCAAGTGCAAAAAAGACAAAAAAAATAAAAATATAAGAAGGTTCTACCTATCTTAGAAATAAGTTCAAAGTATAACAAACTTAAAATTGTTTCATAATAATAGTCATTTCCTTTCTTCTATTATATTAACATTATTGTCAGATTTAACTTTATAGGTTTGCCATAAACAATTTGAGGCTCTTCAGTCTGTGATTTAACTTTTTTCGCCTTCTACTCTATCAAAGGTTATATGCTCAATTAAATTAAATAAATTCATATGTTGGTCATCATTGCATCTATAAGTTACCGTTGTACAAAACCAAATCATTTTGGTGTGTTCCTCTTCAACTTATATTCTATTGATACCACTACTACCATTTCACAAATATATTCATTTCCAATTCTTTCCTAGTCTTATCACATCCATTTAAGTATTTTCATCTTAGTTATACTCATTTTATGAACGTGTTGTTTCTTAGTAGTACAATTTTGTACCACAAATCATCACTAGCCTTATAGTTGTTCAATAACAATTTTCTTTTAATTTTGTTCATATTCATCGATCACAATTTGCTAAACGCATTCCTTCATTTGAGTTAACCTATTTTGATTTTATAAATCACAACATCTCTAAGCCTAACCATCCTTATTAAACCTAGGTAACGAATTCACTATTTGTTATCTCTTGATTTTCAATATTCACTTATCCATTATTTCTGCTTCTAATGTCACTAAAATTGCATTCTACGTATTCAATTCTAATATTAATTCCTTCGTTAATTTCATCCACTAGAACAATATTATCAGTGAATAACATACTCCATGGAACATCATGGATGTGTTTAGTTGATTCATACATGACTAAGGCAAATAGGTAAGGATTCAAATTTGACCCTTGACACAACCTTAAAGTTATTGAAAATTCACTAGTTTCTGAAGCAGGTGATCCAATCATAATCACAAGTCCATAATACATATCTTTTATCGCATCATTGTACCTTTGGTCATATTTTTTCTTCAACACCCACCATATTATATCTTTAGGCACTTTATCATAAGCTTTTTCTAAATCTATAAAATCCATATGTAAATCCCTCATTTTGTTTTCTTATACTTCTCTATTAATCTTCTTAATAAATTTATTACTTTCATTCCCTCATTAGGAAATTCAACATTCCAAATCTTTTCAGCAACTTTTTCCAACAATAACGATTCCCTCGTAAACTCTAACATCCAACTAATTCAAGTACTTGGGGTGACTGTTGGGGGATAACCCTAAGGGTTGAGTGTTTTGGGGCTCCACCACTAGAAAAGATTGGTACGAGGTTGGATAGGTGGAACAGAGCTTTGTTTTCTAAAGTAGGTGTATACTTTAATATAGTATTTCAATTTATTATTTGCCTTGAGATTCCGGTTAGGGTAGAAAATAAGATTGAGAAAATGATGAGGAATTTCTTGTGGAAACGCATAGATGAAGCGAAAAAGAATCATTTGGTGAAACGAGAGGTGGTATGTCTACCTAAAGATAAAGGGTATCCTGCTACAGGAAACATTGTGATAAGAAATATCGCTTTTCTTAGAAAGTAGTTATGGGGATCTTGCATCAAGTGTATTTTTTATGACATCCTATTATTAAGAGTAAATATGGGGTTCAAGCTAATGGTATGGTATGGATTGTCTTGTAATTAAAAAGGAATTGTTGATTTCCATGAAAATCTATCTTAGGGGCTATTTGGCATGCACTACATAAGTACACTTATTTAGATAAGTGCACGTATTTGAGTCACATCACCTCTCTACTTTTCTGCACATCTTTTTATAAAAAGTTAAAAAATATACTTATTTAGATCATCCCATATACCCCCTTATATTGTTCGTCTTTTTTCCCATTTTGTTGTCTTTGAAAGTGACACTTCTTTTGATGTTTTGTTTCCATATTTGTATCGTCGGTTTTGTTCTCATAATGTTTCCAATACTTCTATGGTTTTCTCATTAAAAAGGAAACCTAATCACCATCTTCGTCCTCAATGATACACTATGTAAGAAGAAAAAGAAAAATCTTTGAATCATTTATTTTTGTATTGCCTATTGGCTTTGTCTAAATAGGGCTTTTCCAATTGGTGGATGTTTGTTGGGTGGCTGTACCTTCTTGGGTGTCTAAACAAGGCTTGGTTTGGTTTGGTTTGGTTTGGTTTGGTTTGATTTAGGTGCAACAAGAAATCAATATTTTTTGTGGGATTACATCTTTTATACATCTTTTTAAGTTATTTGGTTGAAGTATAATGCTATGATTTTTGATGATAAGATAGAGGATGTTGATTCTTTATGGGATAAGGTGTGTTACCTGTCAGTGTCTTTTTAGAGGAATTCAACTATTTTTGATTTCCAGAGACATGAGGAAGGTGTTATACCTGTCACACTTTCTTTGTTTTGAATTTCTTTCTTTGGACTACTTGTTCTTCTCTTTTGTATTCTTTTTAAATAATATTTCTTTTGTTGCTAATGAAAAAATAATAATAAATACCGTAAGATTTGGGGCCACTGTTATGCATGTTTTCTGGGATTAAGTAATACGTGACATTTTTCTCGTCTCATTAGCATAAAATTTCACTTTAGTCCTTGCACTTTTACCAAATTCTCAGTATGGCAGCTCTACCTTTAATTTCTATTAGCCTCATTAACAGTAGATGGATGGAAAGGCGACATTGCTCGACTTAAAAGTGTAAGGAGTGGACTCACAATTGAAAATAGAAAGACCAAAGTGAAATTTTGGTGAAATTGTAGGTTTGTAGGTTTGTTAAGTGTAATTAACTTTAGATATTTTTTAATTTCCATTGGTAGAGTTCTAAAAATAAAACTATTGAACAAAAATGTTAACCATTGATAAATTGCTAGAGGAATCAAACCTTTAGGCAAGCTACATGGGAATCATGCATGCTAGTGAAATGTAATCCAATAATTTTTTTTTCTTCACATTTTGTCTTTGATATGCTTCACATAGAATGATCTTTGATTGGTAATTTGTGAACTTGAATGAATGAATTAACAAAAAATGAGACATGGAGCAAATAAGGTGAAAATAAGGTCAAGACCACGATTGCTTACCACACGTTGTTGAGGTGTAGTCCCTCGCTCAACTGCGGCAGCTGGTGTATTGGGTGGCAAACCATGATGCATCAACTTGAAGGCAAGTGAAGGAAGAGTTGACAAACCCATATAAACAACCAAGGTTGAATCAGGGTCAGCTGCATTTTCTGCTACAAACAAGGGGTCCGTTCCTCCTTTCCTAGAGTGGCCAGTAAGAAATCTAACACTATTTGCAACACCCCGGTGAGTTAATGGAATGCCCAACTCTGCTGCTATTCCTGAAGCAGCAGTAATACCTACAAATCAATGAACATACTAATCATCATCTCTTCATTTGTTGAGAAGAAAAGAACTTTGAGTCAAAGAGACCATGCTAAATTGGTTATAAACAACAATGGGGGTGAAGTATCAGAATAAGAAAACTGCTAGGTTTCCATACACTGAGCCACCTCATGTTGCAACATTAGGTTCTGCGAGGAATCCACCCTGATGTACTCCATATAAATAACCTTTTTATTATTTTTAGCTCAGTAAAGAAATTGCATTGGAAAGAACCAAACGGTAGAAACCTGTATACATGGGTATACACAGCAATTTTTAAGTGAGAAGATGATAATAAACTTTTGAGTAAGTTTTTCTCTCATACTCGATTCAATTACATCGGGAGATTCCTGCTTGTGAGGAAGCAACAGGTAAGATTTTTCTTTACATGAAAAGGAAGTCCTCAGCAACGTACTGCATATTTTTGCATAGTGAATGTGATTGAAACTCCCATCACCTGAACTCTAAGGGACAGATTCTCACATCTATTAGTGTGACTTCCCCATACTAGTTTGCTTTCCATACTCTAAGCCAAACCAAACCAAACCAAGCCTTAAGTCCTATCAAATGGGGTCGGCTACATGAATCCTGCTTTCCATACTCTAATGGGAAAAAAAAAAAAAGTTCTCTATACCCTTAGTTTGCTTGTCCTTAAAGTGTATGATAAATCTTTCTATATTTTCCAGGAAAGGGCAAAGTTCTCCAAATAAAGGAAATGATAAATAAAAGTCTAGAATACCAATAGAAGGAACTCAACATCATTTTGTTAAACAACTCCGGATTCAATTTATTGAAGTAAGTTTCATTATCAAGTTATTAGGGCAAAAGGAAAACATATGAGCCTCATTTCAATGATGAGACTTAGAGCTTTGCAGTCTATGTCATATACCTGGAATGACTTGCACTTGAATCCCTTGTTGCTGCAGAAAATCCATCTCCTCCCCACCCCTCCCAAACACCTAACAAACCGACAAAAATGCCAAAATATTTAGAATAATATATTTATCAGGGGTAAAAAACATAGCATAGCAAGTCCAAGATAATTTCATGGAAGTTGATTACTATAACATTTAAGTGGGCACGCACCAGAGGATCACCTCCTTTAAGTCTTACAACAGTAGCCCCAGCTTCCGCAAAACTCAAAAGCAACTCATGAATCTCCTCCTGCAAATAATCCCCAGAAATAAGTTTGTCATGCAATGACACTCCCTTTGATAGTTAAGAAGATGAAGGGAACAAAAAAGGAAAGAAAATTGTAGAACTGAATTGTTCATAATTTGGGAATGATAAAATATTGAACTCATTTTAGTTGATCATAATCCTTTACTCGACCCTGTGGCCACTACAGAGACTTATTTGTTTCCTTTCTTTTTCCTTAGGTAGCATTTGGTTGGCTGGAAAAGGGTGAATTGAATGGAATGATTATTACTCAGCCTCCCTATGGAATGACAAGTATCCCGTGAATGATAATTTTATTTGTAATGCAATTTCTATCATTTAAACCTTTATGCATTGCTATGCTTTCGACTCAATCTAATAATCTATCTATCGAGCACTAATTTTTAGTAAACCAACATAAGAATAGATATTTTGATGGAACAATCATTTCGTTCCATCTTCACCAAACACCACCTTAGCTTTCTATCGTAGGATTAAGAACTTTGAAGTGGAGATTGCACTTAAGAAGATGAAATCAAATAAGACTTTAGAACCCGATGATATCCCTATTGAAACTTGGAAGTGTTTGGGTAAAAAGAAAATTACTTGGTTGACTAGGTTGTTTAGCAAAATTTTGTTGACTAGGAAACATGCTAGATGAGTGGAGGAAGAGTATTTAAGTATCAATCTATAAGAATAAAGGAGATGTTCAAAATTGCAACAACTATAGAGGAATTAAGCTAATGTGTCATATAATGAAAGTATAAGAGAGGGTGATGGAACGCCAATTGCGAGATATAACAGAGGTGTCAGAGAATCAATTTGAGTTTATGCCTAGCAGGTCAACAATGGAAGCGATCTATCTTTTGAGGAGAGTAATAGAAAGTATAAAGAAAAGAAAAGAAACATTTATATGGTGTTTATCGACCTTGAGAAAGCATATGATAGAGTGTTTCGGGATATAATATGGTGGGTGTTAAAAAAGAAAGGGGTGACAAAATGTTATATTGATGTGATTAGGGACATGTATAAAGGGATGATGACTACTATTAGATCACCTGCTGGAGAGACAAATGAATTCTCTATCACTATAGGGTTACACCAAGAATCTACCTTAAGTCTTTATCTTTTTACTTTAGTTATAGATGAGTTGATGAGAAATATTTAGGATGACGTGCAATGGTGTATACTTTTTACAGATGATATCGTGTTAGTGGATGAGATTAGAAAAGGAGTTAACACAAATTTGAAAGTTTGGAGAAAAGTAATTGAATCTAAAGGATTCCGGATAAGCAGAACAAAGACAGAGTACATGGAGTGTAAATTTAGTAACAGTAACGATGAAAGCAGAGGAGAAGTGAAGATTGAGAACCAAGAACTATCTAAGAGTGAACATTTTCGTTATTTAGGGTCGATTATCACAACGACGGGGGAGATTGATGTGGATATGGCCCATAGGATTAAGGTGGGATGGCTTAAGTGAAGAAGTACGTCTGGGATACTGTACGATAAACGAATACCCACTAGATTAAAAGGAAAGTTCTATAAGACTAGCGATGTTATATGGAACAAAGTGTTGGACAACCAAGAAACAACATGTAGATAAGATGAGTGTTGCTAAGATGAGGATGCTAAGGTGGATGTGTGGCAAGGCTAGACACGACAGAATTAGGAATGAGTGTGTTTGGAAATGGATAGGAGTAGCAGCGATAGAAGATAAGTTGAGAGAGAATCGATTGAGATGGTTTGGTCATATTCAACGGAGACCAACAAAAGTAATAGTGAAGAGATGCGATGCAGTAACGGTAAATGAAAGTGTTAAGGGATCGGATAAGCCTAGATTAATGCCAGCTAGCATTGTAAATAGAGATATGGATCTACTTAATTTAACTAACGAAATGGCCTTAATGATTCATATAACCAACCCCATTTGATGGACTTAAGGCTTAGTTTGTTTTGATTTTTTTCCAAAGTTTCTTGTTTTTTTGATTTTTTTCCAAAGTTTCTTGTTTTTCCTCCATCTGTCTCTCTTCCTCTACAGAAGATTGGTAGAAATCAAATGCCAACCAAATAGCAGGGTCCAAACAAGATAAACCCAAATACAATAACTTCCAAAACAACATGACAAAATCAGAGACCAAAGAAAGAAATGAAGCAAACCCACGATCCAAATTCATGGACATTTCTATTCATCTGTACAACCTACTTGCAAATATCAAAATAACAACAAATATACATTTGACAAAATGCACATATAGAAAAATACTGACCTGGGTTCGGCTATGGTACCCAGCAGTCTTGCCAACGTAGAGAAGCCTAGCATCATCACCCACCAAATTCAACACCTCATTGGACACCAATCGATCATACAACAAAAGATGAGCGCTCTGAATCACTCTCACAGCCTTCACAGTCAACAGTTCCGGGTCACCGGGTCCTGTACCCACCAAGAACACGTTCCCGGGTCCTCTCCCTCTCTCTCCTCCAAACCCACCACTCTCTCTCTTCTCTCTCAACACCTCAAGCAGCCTCTTCAGCTCGGGAAGCTGCAGAGCTATGTCGTAGTCCCGGATTGAGTCCGGATCAGGTGGGACAGGGCAGGAAATGGGTTGGTCCAATTGGTTCTTGTACAGCCAGTTGTCTCTTTGGTAGCGCTCAATGGAGTGATTTTCTGTGAAGGGTGAGGAAGAAGAGGAGGTGTAGTGTATGGAACAAACTGGGTTCAAATTGAAGGAACTGGGTTTTCTGAATTGAGGTGAAGAAGAAGAGATTGAAGGAAGTTTATTAACAAGAGCCATGTCAATTTACAATTTTGAGAGGGAGAGAGAGATGGGTTTGGTCTAATGTGTTTTTTTAGTTAAATCCCATGAACAGGGTTTGAATGTAGCCATATATTGAGGTATATACATATGAAGAGAGAGAGTTGAGTTTAAGTTTGGCTTTTGGGTTTGAATTTTTGGGGAGGTTGAGAAGGCAATGGTAGCTTTTGGGGGTTTGAGAGGGACATTTGTTCTTTGGGAGTAAAAAAATGGGGTTTTGGAAGAGAAGTTTTTATTGGCTATAGTTGGACTGTTTGAATATCTAGGCAAGGAGCCAATTACTGAGAATGTGAAGACACTTTGCAAAAACAGGAATGACGTTGAAGGTTACGTGGCTAGTGCCTATTGGTTTATATTCTGATGAGCTGGTTCGACTCGGCTTAACTCATTGGAAGAAATTGTGGAACCTGAAGTTGCAGTTTGTGGGGAACTGGAGGCGGCCGTGGGGGTAAGTTGGATGGATATAATAATGGGCTATGAATGATATACAATATTGGGCCTTTTTGTGAGCCGGACCTTGTCAAATTAGAAATAGAAACCCAGATGGATCGTATGATTAGTACAAGGCCTACATCTGTGTGCCAGATGGGGAAGTAAGAAAAACTAAAAACCGACTAAATCAATTAAATCGGATCAAATTTGTTATATTTGGTCTTTTTTTTTGGGGAACTTATTGATAAGTCCCATGTACCAAGTTCAAGATCCAGCTAATCCCAAAACAAAACACTTGCACCAATTAGTCTAATACATTTGTAATTGTTACCAAAAAATCTTTTTTTTTTTTTAATTTACAGACACTGTTCACATCTTACTACCGTCGGACTTCCGTTTAACGGTCGCCGAAAACTCACCGGAATGTCTAAAATATTGCCGGAAAAAAAAAATTAAAAAACATGTTATGAAACTGTAAAATTTTACAGTTCTAAAGAATGTTATAAAACTGCAAAATTTTACAGTTTTAAACCATGATTCATTTCAGCATCAAAAAAAAATTTTGAAACTGCAAAATTTTACAGTTTTCACTGCCTGTAACTAAAACTCGAAAATTACTTGTTCAAAATTCAAAAATTTTCTCCATTAGAACAGAAAAACAGAAGTGTATAGCAGAGAAAAAAAAAAGAGATTGAAGGAGAAAGGCGGATGTAGATAGAGGATTGTACTCCGACAACTATTTTTTGTTTAGATCTAGCCAAATCTGATGTAGATCTACTCAGATCTGAGTAGATCTACATCAGATCTAAGTAGATCTACTCATCTTCTTTGTCGGAAATATATATATCTTCGCCATCGGTGAGAGTGAAATCACGAGTTGATTTCGATGGTTGGCGGTTATCAGTGAACCCCGATCAATGGAGAAGGACATGAACACCTGCACCATCGTCTATGACGAAGACGATGAGAGAAAAATGTAGAAAAAAAGAGAAAGAATAAAACGTAAAAAGGGAGGAAAAAACCAGAGAGATAGAGGAAAGGACTTTTGGGTGTACCCAAAAAGTTATGGGATTAAATGGTGTCCACATGTTCCACATAGGCTAGTAAGTGCCAACCTAGTTAAGATATATTTGACCTATAGTTAAGGATGTAAGAAAAATCGAAAAAATCGACCAAACCGATTGAATTGGACCAAACCGGGAATATTCGATTTTTTTTTTTTAATAATAATTAGTTTGTGCGATTTTTAAATTTGATTTTTTTTTAATTTTTAGTTCAGTATCAGTTTAAGCATATTGTGTACCAATCTAAATCGAAACCGACCATTTTAACATATATTGTATTTATAATATATATAATCTAATAATATAATAATATTAATAAGTATAATAAACTATTAACCTTATTATCTTTATAACCTAAGTTTGTAAATTCTTATTATATATAATCTTAACTCTAACTCATTATTCTTCAAAACCTTTTTAAATTTTTTTGTTTTGTTTTTATTTTTGTTAATTTAGGAATTAAAAAGTATGTATTAAATGTATAGATTGGATATGTTTGAAATGGTAGACAATAACTAATTTAATATTTTTATATAGATTAATGCTTATATTTAAAAGTGGCTCAAGTTTGAAAAATCTTAGATCGATTAAATCGCACCAAATTTTTTATGTAAATATCGACTGTACCGAATCTATTACATCTGTAGTGCCAGGTCTATCCAAGCCCATGTATAATAAATATTTCTTTTTTTCTTTCTTTCTTTTTGACTACAAAGGAAATTAAAAAAAAAAGTACTTGCATCATAAATCCATTTTTGAAAACTTTGGAGCAATTGCTCCAAACTCTAATTTTTTGTATCCATAAGGATAATAACAATTTGAAAGACAAATTTGTTTATCTATCTGTGCACGTGTCATTTATTTATTTACTTAATTTACATATTTGTTTATATCACCCCACTAGTCGCCGCCAACCACCTCTAACAACATTTTCGATGACCAACAATGGTCCAACGATAGTAAGATAAAAATAGAAAAAAAAAGATTATATGCACCGAATAATTTCATTAATCACATTCTTACAATTAAAATAAAATAATCACCAAACTTAACATCATACATGCCCATAAAATAATATTTTCACTAATTTTTTCAAGAGGAATCTTTAATCTTAAACTAAAGGAATTTAAAGCGAGCCCATTGGGCAATCTATCATTCACCAGGTCAATTGCAATTTGCAATTTGCAATTTGCAATTTGAGAATTGAATAATGCAATATTGTTCCAACCTTTCTCCACAATAATAGTTAAGCCCGTGTAAATTGATGTCCAGTGTCCACCACATTGGTGCTCATGCCTCTTTCTTAGGCTGCAAATGAACCAAACTACCCACAAGCTGGTTCGACTCGGCTTAACTCATTAAAGGCTCAGGTCATTTAGTAAACGAGTCAAACTTGAGCTCGAATATTAAGCTCATTTAATAAACAACTCGAATTCGAGCTCAAATAAGCTTGGCTCGTCAAGCTCGCCTCATTTATCTTTATTTAAATTATATAATAAATATATTATTCATATATTGCATAAATACATCATTTATGTTTTAAATAATATAAATAATATTTTTTATTTAAATAATGGCCGAGCCCAGTTCGAGTTTTATAAATATTATTGGGCCGAGCCGAGTTCGAACTCAATAAATGAGCTTGATAAGTAAACGAGCCGAGCTTGAGCTCCTCAAAGTTCGGCTTGACTCGTTTACAACCTTACTCTTCCTCATATGATAATTATGAATTTGGAGATCCTGTTGTGCTCAAAGGCGCAACAGGCTGTCGTGCTCCTTTGTGGAGGGTTCTCCTGAGCCTCTTTCGATGATATGAACTGTTCATATTGTAGGATTCGTCAAGTAGATTATTCACAAAAAATCAAGTTGATTAGATATTTGCAGCCCTACAACAAAAGACCATTTGTTTTTAAAAAATTAACGGTTAACATAATTTTCATAAATTTTTAAAAACAATCATAGAGTTACAAATATTTGATTAACTTAATTTTTTACATGGATAATATTTTTGACGAACCTTACAATATAATAGTTTAGATCATTGAAAGAGACACGGGACAACCCTCCACAAGGGGCACAACAGGCTTAAGGTACAACAGCACCCCAGTAGGGATGGCAATTTGAACCCGACTCGATGGGGACCCAACCCCCTAATCCCGATTAGAACTGGTTTTCCCCGAAAATCACCGCCCATAGGGCTGGGGATGGTATTGAAAATTGAATCCCCGACGATTTTCGGGTTGGGGACGAGGATAGGTTCCCCCGGCCTTGCCTCAAATAATCCCCGTATAATCCCCGAATATTTCCCACATATATATATATATATATATATGTTTAGGTTACTTTTGAGACTCATTTCATTTGAGCCTCTCCCACTCACACTCTCTCTTCTCTCGGCCTCTCTCTCCCTTTCTTTCTTTACTGTAGTGCTCACGGTGTCGGCGGGACTCTCCTCTCTTTCTCATCAGTGTCATTCTCCCTCACGGCGTCACGACGGCTTCTTCTTCTTTTTTTTCTCTCTCTCATTGGCGGCGGCTCCTCCTCTTCTTCTCATGGTATCTCCTCATCCTCTTTCTCACGATATCCCATCCTCTCTAATTACTCTCTCACACACACACACACACACACACACACACACACACACACACACACACACTCTCTCTCTCTCTCTCTCTCTCTCTCTATCTATCTCTCTTTGTTTTTTGCTTTTGTTCTTTAGATCTGGAAGTCCTGGTCACCGTTGCCAAGATCCGAGTTGAGGAGTCCCCTTTCAGATCCGACGCCATTTCTACCTAAGGCTAGGGTTTTGCACCATCCTCTTCCTTCAAATATGCCCATCCATCTCTCTCTCTCTCTCTCTCTCTCTTTTAAATATATATTAGATTTGAGCTCAGATAAAGATGAAGAAAATGTTAATCTGTTTAATGTGTTAGATTTTTTATTTTTTATTTTTTACATTTGAGCTAAGATCTATTAGATCTGTTGAATATATATATGTGTGTGTGTGAATTCTGGTGTATGGCTGTGTTGTTGATGATGAACAAATATGATTTGGCCATGATGATGTTGTTGTTGTTGATGAATTTTTGTATTTTTTGGATTTTTTTTTTGTCGGGCAATTTTCGAGGTCAGGGAAATTATTAGGGGGCTGGGGCAGGGGCAGGGGCAGGGGCGGGGGCGGTGATAGGTTCCCCATTGGGGATCGGGGATCAGGAGTGTGATTTCCCGGCCCGCACCGACCCGTTGCCATTCCTACACCCCAGGTCTATAGGTTTTGTATTTTTTTTTTTAATGGAAGCCGCTATTCTTGTTTCATTTTGTTCCAATACACTAATTTCTTTATCATTTATTATACATAGTTATATTAATACATTTTCACACAAAATATACTACTTGAAAAACTAAAATTCCAGGGGTTTTATTTAGAACAAAGAAGGGATATTTGGATTAAAATAGAATGGAAATAAGGGCTCCCTTTTTAGGGGTTGTTTGGGGTGTCCTAAATAAGTGCACTTTTTGACTTTTTAGACGAAAAAGTTGAGAAAAAAAAGATGGTTGTTTGGGATAACTTTTTGACTTTTTACGAAAAAATGTGTATTAAAAATTATATGAATTAGTGTATAGGAGAAGATTGGATGAAATAGGTTGTACGATAGGATGAATTGAGGGACAACGTCG